CAAGAAGTGAAATCAACAGCTGAACCCCCTCACGGCCTTGAAGGGCACGCCATAGACTACCTTCATTATTGCAAAGGGTAAGAAGGGCTCTTACAAGCTCTTCCTGAACTTCATTGGTTGCCATTGTTATCAAACCAACTAGTAAACGTTTTGCATCAGAATTTGCAAGTTTGACAGCAAGTATGCCATTCCCGTACAAACTAGCTAATGCTTCTATGGTCCGTTCCTGCACAAGAAAGGTTACACGAGATTTGAACTGCTTTATTAAAGTCTGTTCAACAATTATAGGATCTGATGCTCTGGTGGATTCTTCTTTGCTATCATATATCATAAGAGCTGATGCTAAAGCCCCTAATGTGTCGGCAGTTTGAGTAGCTGATGTGCATGCCTCAAGGCTTTGTCCAAGGCTTGAGATGACATAAGACAAACCCCCTGAAATATTTGCTAAAGCACACATAGCATTTTCCTGCAATGCCTGAGCATACTCACCCTGCATGAACTCTTTCGAAGGAGCTATTGTTGCATTTATCAAGGCAGGAATGCCATTTGAACTTGCTACCTCACGGCGTGCATCTTTGCACTGAGCAGAAAGAGATTTAAGAGCACCTGCTGCTTCTGCTCTAACAGAAGCTTCATTACCAGGTCCTATTAATTTGAGGAGCTTTTTTGTAGCCTCTGCAGCCAAAACCTTGGAACAATAGGATGCATCTTCCATCATCACATGTGCCAGGAGAAAGCACACATTTGCCTGTGTATTTGGCTCTCCTGCTGCCAATAAATTCACTAGTATGTCTACACCTCCAGCATCAATAGTTGCAGACCAAAATCCCTCAGTGCTGCTTGAGAGGTTCCTTAAAGCTCCAGTCAGTAAGCTAACAACATTTCCAGATTTGAGTCCGTTGTGTAGCAGCTCCCAGAGTACCGGAACAACTCCCTCAGTAGAAAATATTTTGGATCCAACGTGATCTCTAGCACCACCTTGGGAAACAGCATAAATGGTCTTTGCAGCAGCAACTTGACCCTCCGAAGAGCTTGATTTGAGGAGACCAAGCAATGGGGGGATGCATCCTCCAAGTAGAACTTTTACCCTTAATTCATTTTCCTTGCACAAGGAACCTAAAACAGTAGCAGCTTGTATTTTCACCCCGAGGGATCCTGAACGGAGAAGAGTAACTAGTACTGGAACTGCTTGAGAGTGAGATCCAACAGCACTGAATGCACTCTCACGTGTATCAATAAGTTCCAGCAATTGCTTCAAAGAAAATTCTTTCTCCTGCACAGAGGAGGAACTCTGCCGCAGCTGCTCAATGCATTGAGCAACACTTGCCAGTGTTCCATCTGGATCTTCCATGCTATTGCGATCTCTGCAAGATATATGATCAAAGTATGTCATCTGGGTATATTGTTCAGGGATACACAATTGAACAATAACACTAGTATTTCACTACTTGGATTGACTTCGACACAATACAAGACTAAATTATATGCTACAATCATTTACTGTGGGATTTATTCATCATGTGCTGTCCATATATAACCTATATCCACAAATTCAATGAAAAGGTGGACAAAAAATGGTGAAACTTCTAGAATAAATGATGCGTGCAGTTGCCGTGTATAAATAAATTCATATTGGTTATCAAAAGATAAATTAGTATTCCAAAAATCCCATTCAATTGCAAAAGGAACAAGAATGATACATACAAGGACAGCCAATAAATAAAAATATATTGGTTATCCTCAGAATATGCATCTTTCAAACGTACCATGAACATTTTTTTAAAATGAAATAAATAAGCATTAAACTCTGATTTTACCTGGAGCCCATCTTCATAAAAGAATGTGGAGTTGGAGGCTCTGAATCGTGAATTTTTCCATCCATATTTTTTTCCTACAACAATTGAACATAGAACTGATTACTAGATAATGTAAGATGTCCCACAAAAGCGAGAGGTAGACTACTTATAAGCAAATATAGAACTTTCTCCAGCAGCCCATTGCATTCCCCCCAATATATCAACAGGGGTAAATATGAAACCACTGTATCAAATTAAAGAAGAGATCCCCGAAAAGACTGCATTGACTAAGGGAAGCTTTGAAATTCAATAAACCAGTAGAGCTATCCGTTGCCTCTTCAACCTCATACAACCTTAAGCTCAGATAACCAATTAACTAAATAAGCATAATCGTGGGTCAAGAAACCAAACTTCTTGATACGCACCAGTATCACACATGCTCACATTTAAAACAATGAAATAACCATTTCCATAGGGACTCCATGCAAGAATTGGTAAAGGAAAATTTATTTTACAAATCTAACTTCAGTTCACACCAGTAAAATTGAGTTAAATAATTGACTTGAAGAGAGAGAATCTTGACAACATTTAAAATGAAGGGCACAAACTACCAGATCATTAGTAGGATGACTACTACCGTTGCTGGCAGCTAGTCTCCAAGTTAGTGTTGCCGCCAGTTTTCCTTCCGTTTAAGATAAATGAAGATGAAACAGAATGTCCAAATTCTTCAGATCTATGAAAGAAAGACGATTAATAGCATAGCAGCCTCCTGCAAAACAATCATGAAAAATCCAGATCGGTTACCACGATTAAAATATCATGAATCCAAACATTTGATTACACTTGAACCGTTTCCATACAACTAACAAACAGATAACAAAGCCAGACCAACAGCGATGCTTGAAGTAGCGGTTGTAAGACTAATCGAACCAAATAACGGTATGGAAGATTAATGTGCAATTGTTTTCACATCACGCCCCGATATATATAAACAGTCTATACTCCACCGGCCACGCGACTCCGCGGGTAACCGAATTACATTAACAATTAAAGACAGAAATGGAATCAAATCCAAGCAACTTAAGCCCACAGGATATAGATTTACATAAACGCCGAGCAATTCAAATTAAAATGAAGCAGATCCAGCAGCAAAGAATCAAAGTCCAACTGATTTACAAATCAGTCAAACGAGTGTGTAATGCACAACACACACGAACCAAATTATAATAACATTCGCCAAATAATCCAGAAAAACCCTCAAATCAGAGCAGAATTTCACTGAATTTTTTACATCGTGGCCAATACAACCAGCTCAAATCCATTTCACGCAGCAGAGAGAAAACTAGAGAGAAAGGACCAACCTAAGAAGAGAATACAATGGAGAAGCTTTTTGATACATCCACCAGTTTTCTTACAAGAGAAGCGAGCATAAAGAGAGAGTGAGAGAGCTTAGCCTCAGATTTTTGTTTTATTTTTTTTCCTTCTCTCTCTCTCTCCCCTCTTTCTCTCTCTTCTTTCCGCTAACAATGAGATTTACGTCTTCGAATACACAAATTGCAACGGAACCAAGCAGGAGACAGCGATGAAGCTTTATGACCTTTTTCCCACAGCCACACTCTCCCTAATACACCACCGACAAGCTTAGCCGCCGGCTTCCCAGCTCGGCTCGGCTCACCTTCGCCCTTTTAAAAGAAATTAATTATTATTATTTTACTAATTAAGTTAGAACAGAAAATAATAATAATAATAATAATAATAAATAAATAAAACAAAAGCTTGGATTGAAAAGAGACCCATCTCTCAGGAATAATATATTTAATGATATAAAAAGACAGGTATTGAGGACAGTGAGAAAACACCTAATAAAGCTAAAATAGATAATATAAAATTTGTGTAATAATCCCTATCGTCCAACTGAAATTGCACAGGCCCCAACCAACATGCATTACTCATGCCAAAATTGAACCCACAAAAAGAATAGAATTTCCATTTGTAATTAAAGGTTTCTATGTAAAAATAAATAAGTTGGATGTATATATGGAACAAATCAAGTTTTATTTTTACATAATTTCCAGATCTAAAAACTACACCACATTGCTTTTAATGAAATTATGAGTAAAAATTTAGGCAGTATTGGTGGATATTTGTTGGTAGTATCATCAGATTGGAATGATTGGGACTGTGTAGCAGCCGCTATGATGTTATGAACAGCAATATTCTTTGGTTATTTATACTCCTATTATTTGCATTTTTTGCATTTACTATTTAGCTGTGCTGTCACCTCCCATGTTCCTTCTGTTCTTTTGCTACTCCCTACCCATGTCCATGTTCCATCATCTTTTATCTCTCTATGTATGCATACAGATACCCATTATGTAGTGGTTGATTTGGCACCAATTGTGATTATGACGCTAAGGGTTCGATCAAAACTGTAATTTGAAGTCATCTCAAACATAGTTTAATGTATTACAAATGTCGATGATTTGATTTTGTACTCTGTAATGATTGGTTGAGATCGGTTGTTCGGATATTATTGAATCCAAAGTTTATCCCCCAATAAAAATCATTGATCCTTCCAAGCTTTTTTGAAGAATCCAAAAGGACCCGTTACTAATGGGTCATCTTCTATTGGTTAAAATATGGATCAACTGTCACCAAAAGGGGACCGGTTTTAGTTGGTGTGGATAAAAATTTTGAAGTGTTTATAAAGCAATATCAAATTTTAATAAATCAAAACTTCAGCTTTACTTTACCCAATCCCATCGTTTCCTTCTTCCCATGCTGAATGGTTAGATGAGAGATCATCATACAGCCTACATCTAAATATATATATTGCTAATTAGATAATAAAAATTATGATAAATCTACTAACAAAACTTAAACTGAGTTTCCTAGACTAGATCCTCCATTTAAATACACAAACTAGACTTTGATGCCAAACTCATGTCCCAACCGACCCCTCAAATAGGTCCTATATTGAGAATATTTTCCTCCATTTTCTAAATGGTCCGACGAGAATCATCTATTTCTAAATAAGACTATTTCTTGGGCAATCTTTTAATGGAGGATCTCAAACATGGATATCCTTTGAGAATAACTAATCGTAATCGAAAGAACCGAAAGCAAAATACTACCACCAAGGTCCCTCCCCAACCCCCCTGTCAGATCTGGGATAACCACGAATCATGCTTATAACTAAACACATTAAGAAAAAGCAAAGCATTTCGAAACCAAGCAGTAAAAGAGCTTCTCACTGAAAACAAGAACCAGGGATTTGCAATTAACCCACTTCGACAAAAGGTTGCAAATTTTAGTTTGGCCTTCTCAAAAGTGCCCGAATGGCTGCAGTTGCTTCTCCTGGCGCTGCAGCCAAAGTAAAAAAAGTTCTTAATTTTTTTTTATTAAGGTCAATACAGAAAGAATGGTGCTATCCAGGAATTGTGCATTCCCGTTACTTGAAAACTCATGTTCTTTTTTCCCTGGGTAACTCCACGAAGAGATTCGACATGCAGCTAACAAATATATAGTACCAAAAAAGCACAACCAGTGCTTGCATACCAGCGACAGGGATGGCAAATTACTTTGAGGTCTTAAGTAAGGCTGATTGATAAGGCATATAGTTGAAGCAAGGTAAGGGCTTGCTCCGTGATGGCTCGATTTCTTGCTTGCCTTACCCAATCATGAACTATCTCTTCTGCTTTTGTGTCTTTAACACCTTCTTCCAGAGAATGTGCTGCTTCGGCCAAGTTTCCTTCAGCCAAGTAGGACTCCACTCGGTTGATGATAGATTCAATCCCAGTACCAGATTGATCGACCTCCCTCACCTGAAGGAGGTCAAGGAAATTTCAGAAACTACAGCAACAGAGAAGAGTAAATGGGATATTTAAAGTTCTTTCGAATGTACCTTAATCGAGGATGCTACATAAGCTAAAGAATGCGCCAAAATGCCACCGCCACCAGGTGGGATCAAGCTCAAGTGCCGTAATGGTGCTTTTAGCGCATCAAACTGCATGCAGGGTGATGGATTAGCCAGATACTTTCGCATAAAAGATGAACTCGACTTTATTATCAAATAGAAAATACTGTAAATAACAAGTAAACACAATTGAACAATATTCCATATGACCAATACCAAACTTACCACAGCTATTCAAACACATTTTCACTAAATTTTTGTTTTAAAAAAACAAAGAATAATTCTTAAACCCAATACCAAACAGCACCAAAGTTTCCCAGTAAAGAAATGACACTGATTATACATTGGTAATTTTTTGAGAGAGAAGTATGCTAAAATTTATCTTCAAACCAGGAAACATTAGTGTACCTTTTGTGTTATTTGTAACAAAGTATCTGAGCCATGATTCAATATTTCTTTAGGAATGGATGAAAGGACCAGCTCTAAGTTTGAATCTTTGTCGATGCCTTGAAGATCAAGGCGTAAAGCCTCTATTTCAGCCTGGATTGGTAAACCTCTTGAAAGAGCGTCTTCAAGTGCCAGTGCCCCCTATAAGATTGATAACTTATAGTTGATTAAACACTTCAGGACAAATTAGGTAGGCTGTGCACAAGTAAAATATAAAAAATGAATTACAACCATTAAAGTTCCCGAGACATTTTGCACTTGAGCATAATGCTCGTTTATGGATTTATATTTAAATATACATATATAAGAGAACTTTCTTAACAAATGAAACACAAAAGAAAGGATTTAGAAATCCTCAGAAAATGCCAAGAAGTTTATTAAAAATACTTTAGTCTGATAGGAACGGGGATTTATTTATCAAAAGATACCGAGTCAAGGGAAGATTTAGAGAGTTTCCTCTCTCTCCCAAGTACAATTCTCTCACAAGATGATTAGGCAAAAACGTACCTCTCCAGCTCCTTACTTTCTTACATTATATATTTCTCCATCCAAAGCTCATTCTCACTATATTCTCATGGTCACATCCCTAACTAACTAATAACAAATTATTCCTCACACGCCTACACTTCCGCACATGCTTAATGGGGGTCTACCACAGTCAGCACAAATAACCAAAAGTGGATAATTACAGAAATCTCAACATAGGAATCTCCAATTTAAAGCTTATAGCCTAGCACATTCACCCTTGAAGCCACAAAATGAGATAAAATGAAATTGTTGAAGCGAGAAAACTACGGCAAACAATTTTACAGAATCAAAACCTACCTTCATTTTTAGATCAAACTCAAATCTTATTTTCAAAAGGAACTCCACAAGAGATAATTTTGCAAACCCTTTTTTCAAAATCTTTTGGAAAACAAATACTGTTTCCAAATGTCCTCGTACCCCCCCTTCTTTTTATATTTCTGAAAACATACTGTTTTAAAATTTTCTAGAACACATACATACATGTATGTTGTTGCAGAGAGATCTATTATCACCGTGCATGTTTGTACATCTATATTCTAAGTGAATACCATTGAAGGTGATCACTGTTACATCAGATTTGCATCATTTGCATGCGAAGATGTAAACTGATAAACGGGATTAAACCAGGTGTAGAACCAGTTTAAAAACGGCAGCTTCTTTACTTACTAGTAAAGTAGCGAACAAAATTTCTTCAAAAGTAAGTTAGACTTCAGTTTCTTCTGCTACTAATAGGAAATGTAAACACCATCAATAAGTAGGAGTACGACTTTACCAATGCTAGCTTCTGAGCAGAGTGACTATGACGAGCTTCTTCAGACCTTGCATAGAATGCCATGCACAGGGCATTTATCTGCAAAAGGAAGTGGTAAGCAAAGTCTTGTGGGTAGATTTTGCCTGGATTCAGGCCAATAGAGTTCATAGAATAAAAAATGGAAAACAAAATGATGACCGTAAACAGCACCAATAACAGCATGACCAAAGACATGGAGAAATGTTGGAACATTCACATCGTTAAAATAAAAGAAAGATGAAAGAGTGTGACTAGTCTGGTTCTCGTCTTTAATCAGAATGACATTCAAACAATATTTTAAAAGTGAATATATGCATAAACATATATATGGACCAAAAAGAAGCAATAAGGCATTAGGCCGAAGCTCTTGGAGCAAGTATCTCCTTACATATATGGTAATAGATTTATTTCCAAAGTTGACCTTACTTATAGGGCCAGGCCTCTTCTTACACTTGAGACTGGAAAAGCTGAGAAAAGACGTCGTTACACTAATATACAGCTGACAAGTGTCTTCATTATTGTGCAAAATGAATCAAGCAATTTCCATAAAAATCACCATGCGCATCTTTCATCTTTCGAAGTAAAAAGTCTCCCTCAACGATGAGATTGTACATGTTGAACTGTTTTTCTTAATGTTACGAATGTTATCTTTCAAAGGAGGTAAGTTAGATCCTATAATATCCATAACTTTCACTACTCGGATAGGCATGGTGTTTTGAGCTCAGATAAATCAATTTGTGCAAGATTACTTACATGAAGATTTGCTTCGGCTATCTTTTCTATTTGGGCAGCCTTCTCACTCGCAATTGCCGCAGCTAACTCTGCTTTTGCAATATCTTGAAGTTTCCTCAACTTCAATTCTTCCTCATTTTCCTGCAATGAAATTATTGTCAAAACGTCTAGGTAAAGGATCAGAAACTTGAGCTTGTTTATTGTCTAAGAAACACTCCCACCTTCTGTTCAAGTTCCTTCTGAAATTTTTCTTCCAATTTCTCTTGAAGTGACTTCAGAGCAGCAGCTGCTTTTGTTCTTTCTCTTTTTAACTCCTGAGAATGATGAAAATCCCAAGAAGCCACAAATGAGAATGAGAGGAATACAATAACAGTGTATCTATGTAACTTCTCTGTGTACTTGATATATCTACAGGAGTGTTCGCGGGTGTAGTTCATAAATTGGGAATTCAACCTTGTCCAATATAGCAGCCTCTTCTGCATGCATTAGTTCCCTAGCCCGAGCATCCCTCAATTCTTTTTCCATCTTTTCCTGTATAGAACAAAAACATACATCACAGTTAATAGATGTAGATAGTCGCATTCCATAACAATAACAAACATTGAAAAATGTACGATACACAGTAATCTATTACCTTCAATGCCCTCATTTCATCAGAAAAAACACGGTAATCCAGCTCAGCTTGCCTCTTTTCAGCAGCATGAATAGCTTGTAAGAAATCAATTACCAATTTCCCATCCTTGGATATGTAGCCATCATTTAACTCCTCAATTTCAGCAATTAAAGCCTGGCATCTCGGAACCAAAAATTTAGATCATTACTAAGATTATTGAATTCCAGCAAAATGAACATACACTGAAAAGAAGGAAAAAGTAAACGACCTCTGTTTCTTTGTAAAACTTGTTACTTTTATCTTTGCCATCACCACCCAAGGAAGTCATGCCAGCCTCGTCCTTCAACTGGTATGCCTCAAGAAGAGAACATGGCTGCTCTATAGCTTCACCTGTATCATTCAACTCCTGGATAGAACACCAGCAAAGAAAAATTCACTTTAAATTACACCTTTCACTAGAAGTGAATATATTTAAGAAACAAAAAGGTCAGACAAGATATCCTATGAATTTAGAATGTTATGTTTAATACAAAGGAATCAATCATCCTCATCAACCTTCATTTCTGGTCCAAATACATCGAGGCATGGGCTGCTCACTACCAGGTATTCTTTCTAACTTGCCTTCTGTAAAAAACGTTTGTACAGTAATCCTTTGTATGACATTGGAGTGGTTGAATACTAAGACAGAATTTCCCAAATGGATTCGGCTGCTATATGATGTGGCAAATCCATCCCATGCAACATTTTCAACTTGTACATTTCTTATTAATCCAAAAGGATCAAAGACATATTCTATTTTCCCTCTTTCTGCAAAATCTTCATCATACTTTAGAACAGCTTTGAATCACAAGAGACGACGACTTGATTTTGTTTCTATCTTGCTAACACAGGTTTCATTTTTCACCCATGTATCAGAGGTAATGGGGTTTGACATTAAATGTTAAAGTGTCTTTCTCTTGTAAGCTGTTCTCTGGAAGGTTATTCTGAAGAAAACTAAATTTTTTGCATGCTCAATGCCTGGTGGTTTATAGGAGGATTAACGCTATACATTCATTCAAAGATGCTCTTCTTTTACCATTTACGTACATTCTATAATGGCGGATGAAGAGGATCATCATATTTTTTGGATTTTCCCTTTTTCCGTAAGGACTTGGTTTAGGATATGCAATTGTTTGGTATTATTTTGGCCCTATCTCATAATTTTCATTCTATGATTGAAGAAGTTTTAGTCGATCCTTCAATTTGAGAGAGAGAAATAGACTATTGTCGCGGGCAGTTTCTTAATCATCTTAAGATATATTTGGTAGAGAGAAAAGTAAGGGTGTTTAAGACTGGGAAAGATCCTAGGATAAAGTGTGGTCAGACTCGAAATTAAGTACCTCCTTATGGATTTCTGGTTGTAACATTTTTAGTGATTTTTCTCTCATTTCAGTTACCAAGAATTACACCAATTTTTTCTAATTGTTTTCCTTCTCGTGGCCCTATCAAGGTTTGGCCTTTTTTCAATATGGCACCTGTTTACTCCCTTCCCTGCCTCTTAGTACAACTTAATTACTATTAAAAAGAATTTGTGTTATGCACGTGCATTTTATAACTTTAACCTTAAAAGCTACCATTATATCAACATTTGATCAGAACAGATACATTTCAGTTACCTTCAGTTTGGCTTCTGCACTTGTATCTTCTTGTGGTGGTATTCTGACATCAATTTGTTCAGGTGCTGCATCGATCTTGCTAGACATTGGTGTGGATTGAACTTCCTCATGAGGCTGATCCCTAGTACTAGACTCCGTGCTTTGCATGTCCAAATTTACATCTGTGAATGTTTTAGATTCTAGATTCTTGTCCTCTACTTCACTGATGCTTTGTCTGAATTCTGGCAAGTTTTCCTCCTCGGTATTTTCATGTGGCATTGTCCTGGAACTGTCTTGAAACTGACTACCATCTTGCTCTTCGCCCGAAGCTTCAAGATGAGGAAGGTGGCCATCTGTGTTGACCGTCTGCTCAGTGGACTCCACAATGGGATTTAAGCTCTCAGTTTCTTCTGTAACACTATTCAATGGTTTGGTTTCTTCTCTACTGGATGAATCCGATTTCTGCACCACCAAAGGTTGGACATTGTCTGAATCACTTTTCTGAACAACTGTCTTAGTTGACTCTACAGATCGATTCTGCTCTTTACCACCCGTTAGTTGGTCTAGATAGCCAGTTTGATAAGCTGCAAAAACAGCAGCACCAACAACAACACTGCCAAAGACAACTTTTGGGAAGGAATTTCCAGACTTAGGTGGCCCATTTGTAAGTTGTGGTTTTGGATTTTGAGATGAAAATTCCCTTCTTGTAGAAATACACGGGGATGTATGCCAACATTGCACCTGCAACAAAAACCTGTCGAAGAATCAGAAAACATTTGTAACAGTAAACCATTAAACCAAAAACAAAATCAGGATTATATAGTTTGGTTTCATGCCAATATATTTTACCATAGACTAGTTTTGCAACACATGCAGTTCGTACTCCCATTTGATTTGTCTCACCGTTCTTAGGCAAACTAAAATTTATCATGAAAATAGGAACATATAGCTTTAACATTCTTTAACACTGTAAAGTAATTATAACAGCAGATGAAAGTATCGTATACATAGCAACTTTGCATGTGAAAAGATCTCCACGTCGTAAGCTTCCGCTCAAATGCATCCACAAGAACATAGACGAAGAATCACGTGGATGTATATGCTTATAAGTCGAATACACACTTTTCCAAATATCTGTTTGTAAATTATCATAGCGCCTGTATTGTACAAAACGAATTCTGATCGCAAAAATGAATTTAGGGAAGTCTTATACGCGAAATTCTACTTGCCTGGGGTGAAATATTCCTCGGAGTCCTTCCAACAGATTGACGAGATGATAATTCCAGAATTGACCTGCAGAAAGTGATGCGATAGAACTGTCATCTATAAGCATCAGCCACTGTAACTGAAACCGAGGAAATCCAAGTTCAGACCACATGGCCATTGAAAGTAATTATTCTTTATCAACACATCATATTTATGAGAATGCCAATTAACCCTCGGGATATTAAGGAATAACAAACTGCCAATTTTCAACCAATCAAGAAAACGCTGCACTTGAAGGACAACCGAAATTACTAATTAACAAAGAACATTAACATCATACGCAAACTAAAACGGAATTGATACGTAGTTCAGGAGCATTCCCGTACCTCCGCCACATAGCTTATATGTATTCAGTGAAAACAGCGAGCGACAAAGATGTTTGAGCGAATAACCAAGTAAGCGATTAAATGTAACTTGGAGAATCGGAGGTAGAAAGTCCGGCCTGGTAGGAGCGTTGAGTTCCGGGTTCGAAGAATCAGATATGGCTTGGCCGGAGAGAGATCGCCGGAAACGACAGGAAAATCCGATGGCACCGGGATTTTACCGCCTTGTTAGATGTGTCCGTAGGTCCGCGTCGCAGCAAGGAATTCTTCTCCAAGTTGTAATAGCTTCTGCTAGGCCCATTCCTAGGCGTGGGCCTTGAGCCCAATATATTTGGGTTTAATATTCGCACTTGAAGGTAAGCCCATTCCTAGGCGTGGGCCTTGAGCCCAATATATTTGGGTTGATGAACTGGGCTGAGTTTGGTGGGTTTGCTCTCTACAACTTGGTGGTCTTATGTTTTAGATTTGGATTGCAAATTCGATGCATCCAAAATGATTCTTTAGGAATGGTTATGATTCCAGTGTAATTGATGTTATGTTATGGCCAAAAGGTACCCTCCCTAGCGCTCCCGAGCGTTAAAAGACTCACAAAACATCACTTGACATACCTGATTAGGTTAAAAACCATACAGTGAGATTAGTTATCTTGGATTAGAGATCACGACACAAATGAATTTTATGCACCAGCCCTAATTATTATAAGGTTCTTTATAAAGGGTGGGACCTATTTCATACTCGAGCTCACGAAAAAACCATACCTGCCTCGATACGAAAGCATGGTTGGCAAGCTTCGATCTATATGAACTCATTGGGTATGTACCTTTGGTGTATGGGCTTGTTGAATCAACATCAACGAGCTTCTTTTTAAACTCCAAGATCACTCAACTCGTAATCCTATTACTAGTTAAATTTCGACACCGCCCGAAGAACTAAGAATGAAGTTGAGATAAATATTTGATATTTATAATTAAAAAAATGTTAATATTTATAGTCATGTATCCAAACATCTTTTATACGTTAAAGTTAGTGTTAAAAGCGTCCAAGTTGACCAGACACGTTCAACTGGTGAGGTGGTAGGGACCATGTCACGTGAAAGAGACAAACAGACATCCCAATTTGAACGAGTAGGGAACCATCCATGTCGCGTCACATAAAGGCAAGCCATTATTTTTCTATATAATTTCTTTCCTTTTTTTTTTTTAAATTGTTAAGTGAAGAGCTGTTTGGGATAAAATCCCTCAAAAGTGATATCTTATTAATTTCACATCATCTCCAAAATCACAACTATTAAAATATTTGTAGATAAATAAATAAATTCCACTACCATTTTTAATTACAAAAAATAAATAATCGTCCTGTATTATTCCTAAAACTTACTTTTTTAGGGTATCTTAATAGATAAGATCTTTTTTTCGTGGACTACTTTTTCCCTCGTACACACGTGTATATATCACTAGCATTCTTTTCCTTTTCATCGGTTTCAATAGCATGAGAATGTGTTAACTCATCATCAGATTTATGGGTATATTAACGAGCTTATCTAGTGAGTCTATGTACACGTACATAAACCATGTATAGAAATGTATTACGCATCTAACCACGATCAAAATGAAAATAAAGTCTAAAGACAGTAATGAATTCATGTCACGATATATGTTGTATGTGTTTGTATTTTCGACCTTAACAATGAGATAACTTACTGAATATTTTTAAATACTTGTCATTTACCAAACATTTTTTATTTTTTTTTATTTTTTTTTTAAGTAAATGCAAAAATCTTCTTAGACAACTTATGTTGCACTTAATAATGTTTGGTTTTACCTAAGTTCATAATTTTCATTAATTTTCAAGCTTTCCGCTGTATAACAATCCAAACCCACCAACAGATATTATTTGTTTCACAGAATGAGAAGCCACCATCGAGTTGGTTAACCGACATTTTGCATCTCTTTCCTAGACTAGACTAAATAGACAAAATATTAATGAAATGAATAAAAATAAAAATAAAAAAATCCCGTAAAAGGAGGAAAAAATGGACCTCCCTGGCCCCAGCCCAATTAAAAAGGATTCCTTTTTTCCTTGGGAGGGAGGGTGCGTCTTGTTTGTGAGCTAGTGCAAGTAAAGAAGAAATTTCCATATGTTTGCATCCACTTTCTTGCACCATGGACAAGGCAACCATGGACAAGGCAACCATGGGTGTTTGCCTAATAAGCTACAATTTATCCAAAACATAATTTTTCCATGTTTGTTGGTCTTATCAGAAGCCATGACTATGTTGTTTTGTTTTGTTTGGGACACCATCTAAACTGACAACTAGATTTATCAGAGTATTTACGTCTTTACCCTCCTCACCTTACTTTTCATTGCTGAAACAAATTAATAATGGTCAGAAATTTTCAGAATCAGTTTGATTTGTTCTATGGAGGAAGGGCAAAAAGAAGCCATAATTTCTACTTCATTACTCTTTCATTTCTGGCCACATACACACCACCAAACCAAGATCCAAGATTTACACAACCCTATAAGTCGGGGTGGACAGAGAAACGAAAGCTAAAAATAAACCCAAAATAAAAACTGCGATTCTCGCATAAAATTCCTTTATTTTTCAGGAATTAGAGTTCGCGTAAACCTCGAATACGTTACCGGGATGGACTTTCTTACAGGCTTTTCCGGCGATGCCGCCGCCGCCGCCGTGGTGATGGGCGGATTTTGGAGGTTTGACGGTGTCTTCTAACCTGCCAGCTCTCTCCTGCTCCATCCTCTTCAGTTTCTCCTCCGTTTTCTTCCTCATTACGTAAACCCTAGCGCAGGCAGCTCCCATGGAGGACATGGTTTTAACAGGGGAAATCGAATGAATCAGAATGAGTGTCCACAATCCTATGGGCTCTCTCTTTTTCTTTGCTTAATTGGTGGGTTTCAAAACCCGTCCCGTATTTATAGTGGGAAACTTGTTCGGTTGAGGCCTACGCGTTTCGTTGCCCCCTAGCTTAGGGGTCAGATAACCCCCCAATCCGTGTACCTCATTTGGATTGGACCAAAATAAAACTGTATATTTCTAAAATACCATATTTAGTTTATAATTCAAAAAAAAAAAAAAAAAAAAAAA